TCACCACTAATACCCAGCCAGTCTTGGCTCATGTCCCCTTCTGCCTTGAACTCGAGTTCCTCAGGCAGTGGTTAAACAGAGTCCCACCAAACTGCCCTCACTGCTAGAGAGCAGGAGGTTATAAAATCATACAGAAGCTTAACAACAAAAGGTCAATGACTTTATTTCAGGTTTTCCACCAGATTAGTATACCAGTTGCGGTGTTTTAAGTTGTCCTTATAAAAGTTCCACATTTTGAATTAGTCTAGAATTAATACTAAATTGTTTATTGTTTATTTTTAATTAATACCAAAAATGGTTCTTCATCTCTGTGAAAGTTTCCATTAAATATCTCTTTACTGGAGCTCTGATTTTTAATTAATAAAATTTTAGGCAACTTACATCTATCCAATAATGTGTGCCTTTTACCTTTAGAAAATTTTTACTCTTCGAGGATCTTATATTCACATTTATTTAGTATCTAATGAAATAACTTGTTTGGTTTAATTGATCAAATCTTAATGTGACTTTCTCCTTTACTTTTAAGTGGTGAAACTGCTTTTAGAAATATGACTATTCCTTATGGATGGGCAAAAAGACCAATGCTCCTGCGAATTGGTAAGATGGACCCAGACATTCCAATTTCCGTAATCTATGGAGCCCGATCTTGCATAGACGGCAATTCTGGCAATACCATCCAGTCCTTACGGCCACATTCGTATGTGAAGACTATAGTGAGTGTTTGGTTTATTTGAGGTTGTCTTTTGTATATGGTGTATAATTGTGGGTCAGTCAGCAAGCATTTAAAAATCCCCTACTGTGTACCAGGAATTAAGTTGTATGTCAGGGATCCAGGTACAGAAGTGAAGCAGATGCAACCTTTATGAAGTGCACCCTCTAATGGGAAGGTCTGACATGGATTGGGGGAAGGGGGGAGCATCTTAATCCTGTGTGATTCTGTAAAGTGTCCTCCCATCTCACCTGTAGAGAGTTATCTAATACTAATCCATGTTGGAGGCCGGCCTTTAGCCCTTTCACATTCTGCACAATTTTGCAGGTGCCAGTGCAGCACTCAGGCTGGTTTTACATCTGGCAAGAATTGTCCTTTGTTCTTATGAAAGTTTAGTAAAATCCTTCTTTTTGGGGAGAGCAGCATGGCTGAGTGGGTAGAGTCTCTGTGTCCCAGGCATCTCTGAAGCGAGCAGTGGCCCCGTGGCAGGTGTGCATTTGTATTGGTAGAGGAGGTTTCCTGCCTGGGAGCCCCCCGTCCCTGGGAAGTCCCAACTCTGCTAAAAACAATAACTAAGATGGATAGATAGCATTGGAGTTTACTGCTCCCTATAGCCTAAAGACAGGGTGAGGACTGTATTGTGGGATTCCGTCAGCCAGGTAGCACATTGCCCCAAGCCTGAGCACAGGCGACCTTATTCCCCCAAACGCCCACTGACTTACGCTGTTCTCACCCAGGCTATCCTTGGCGCGGGACATTATGTGTATGCTGACCAACCAGAAGAATTCAACCAAAAAGTGAAGGAGATTTGTGATTCTGTAGACTGAGCCCATTCAGATCATGCCGGACAGACCTGGTGACGGATGCAGCTCCTCCCTGATAACTTAGAAAATGTGATGAATCAGGAAACCAGCACAAGAAACTGAGCGGCACTCTTGTCTCCTGCTTTGCACATTTGGCATTTCTTCCAAGAAGTCACTTGCACGTTTATACCACATAGTGCCTTTTGGGATGGAAACCCCTTTTTAAATAGAAGTTCATTTTAAATACGTGCAGAAATCTCAGAAACTAATACCTTTAAATAAAGGGTTTCTTGCCTCCCTGATATAGTGGAAATATTGTAATTTTTTAACTGGAAGATTTTTTTCAGATATAACTTTGCTATATTGAGTACATTTAATACTGGAATCTACTTCTCCACTATGAAGACTTTGCTCCATCGTTGTGTTCTGTATTATAAAGGTGCAATTTCTTTGATTTATGTCTTCATATGATTAACATGTGTTGGCCTCTGGGTTAGCCATGCCCCTTCTCAACATGTGGGGAGAAATAGCAAATTTTTGTATCAGAAGTTCCCACATGGTCCTTGATGGTGTCATGACAGGCCGGGAAGCTTCTTAGGGGAGAGAGAGAAGGAAGGGGCCAAGAGGAATGAGCATTGGATGGGAAGAAGCCAAGAGCTAAGGCGCCATGTTTCTTATTTCCAGGCCAGTAGGGCAGGGACTTTGCAGGTGCCCATTTCCTTCAAACTTGCTGAGTCCATTGTGAGCATAATTGTTTGTTGCTTAGCTCCTCATAAAACTTGTTGTTTAAGACATGAATGTTAGCACGTAGGAAAGGCACTGGAGCTTAGTGGAAAGAGCCCTGGACTTGGAGTCACGGGGACTTGGGTTCAAATCCCATTTCCAGCATTTTCTAGCTGTGATTGAACAATTCACTTATTCTCTCTGAGCCTCAGTTTTCTCATCTATAAAATGGAGATTATTATAATAGCACCTCCTTCCCAGGACCATTGTGAGGATCAAATGAGAGGGTGTGTAAAGTGTTTGGGAAACATTGGAAAGTGCAATATAAATTTGTAGTATTATTATTATTATGTTTCCCTAATAGCAAGGGTTTTCATACTTTAATGCTTTGAAGGGCTAAATGATTTACCAATACAACCTGTCTTTGTTATAATTAGATCCTTATAAGATATTGCATTAATTAATGGGCCCAAACTGCCTGCTCTGTTCCAACAACTGTTCTCAGCACAGAAGGTTTTCTTCACTTGGAATATCAAGGCATCCGTCTTAAAACTACAGCCTTATTATAGTATTGTAACAAATGATACCACATTTTCATCAACAACTCGTAGTGTAGCCCTGAAAAGTAATCAGCGATTTTTGTAGTGAAAACTCAGGGTGTGTCTAAATTTTTTTTTTAATTTATAATTATAGCACTGGAAAACTTTTAAAAATTTATAACTATACATAGTGTGTTATGTGTGTGCATATAACTCTCTAAACACACACACACACACACACACACATTTTTAAAACCCCCAAACTTGAAATAACTGCCGTAGATGATGATACTTTCTTGCTATGATTTTTTTTTTTAAATCTTCCCATTGAAACTGAAAACTAAGACTATGTAATAACTGGTTGCCAAAATATCCCTTAATGAGAAACAAAAAAACTGGGAAAGAGTTACACTAGATGAGATATTTGGGCTTCACTTGTATGGGGTATTAAGCTTTTAGGAGAGGCAAATTTAAATAAAGACTTGAAAAATACAGCAAGTGATGCCTTAATATGTTTAATCACAGTTTTTAATAATAGTTAAATGTTGGGTCGTACCTCTTAGCAAACAGACAATTCTGTTTTCCAGCATTAATAGGTGAATTTATTAAAGGTTAATTTGAAGTATAATGAATACCTTGGTGATCAATGGTTCCTTCCAAGTAGTTGGGTGCAAGAAGGTTCAAGGATGACATTTTGTTTTCAAGAAGAATTTAACATAGGATGATTATTTTAACTGTCATCTCAGATCTTCAGATTACCTTTTACAGTCTTGAAAAGATTCTTGTTTTTTAGGTTTTTGGCTTATTTTTAGGACTTAAGGACAGTGCCAAAAAAAATCATACTTTATTAAACTTTGCTGTGTGACATCTCTTGCTAGTTAAAACTATAGTTATAAAAATTTTGGCACTTTGGAGTGAAGCCACGTATCGCCTTTGAGGTCAGGAACTATTTGACATTTGGGGACATTTATTCCTGGATTACTTGTTAAGTGGAAGTGATTATGTGCAATTTGGTAAATTTGTTTTAACCTTTTGATGTTACTTTAAACTTATCCTATTTGCTAATGTAGATATAACCAATTACACAGATGCATTTTTGATTCCCTTCATTTCTTCTGCGTGCTAACCACTTAATGATTTTCAAAAAATTGTAGAAAATGTGAAGAGTGTAGGACTGGAGAAGTGGAAATGTCCTGGTTTTCTAATATATTTTGTCTCATTAAATTAAGTAAAATTTACCCTATTAAATAAGATCTGATTCTGTTATCTAAAACTGTATACATTTTTTGGTCTTAAGTATAATGAACAAATGTTTATTTAAAATAGAATTTGCCTAGCATATATCATTGTTCATGGCTAACAGGGAACTGTTTACCCAAGACAGATAAGGAGGTTGTGAGAGAGCAGCTCACTATGCCTGATGAGTTGAAGTCACCATGCCCAGCGGACCTGTATCTTAGGGTATTGAAAGAGGTAGTCAGTGTGAATCCTCAGATCCTTGCAACATTGTGGCCAGTAGGGGGTGTACTTCAAGATAGGAAAAGGAAATGTCCAAATTTCTTAATGAGAATGGAGTCTGCAAACCCCAGGCTAGCCAGCATGACTTCAGTCTTGGCAGAATTCGAGAACACACTTCTAAAAGGGAAGTTATTGGGCACTGAAGGGATGAAACAGTCATCACAAAGAGCCACACATCTTTAGCAGGAAGAGTCATGCCACACTAACCACTTTTCCTTTGTGATGAGGTTTTAGATTTGGTAGATCAGCAAATGCTATCAGTGGAGTTTACCCAGATTTTAGCAACGCATTTCTTATGGAAAATGTGGATAGACATGAATTAGGAACTGGTTAGATGGCCAGACCCCAAACATCATGAATGGTTGGCTCCATGTCACAAGGAGGTCCCTGTGGAGTGCCCCAGGGAGTGGTCCTCCTCCCTGTACTACTTGATACTTTCAACAATGAGATAAACACACACAGTAGGTGTTTATCAGACCTGCAGATTACACACAACTGTAAGGGATTAACACTGGATGACAGGATAAAAAGATTTTCTCAGACTAAGTATATTAGGTTGGATTTAATAGAAATAAATGTAAAGACTCAGATTTGGGTTCAAAAAATCAACTTTAGAAGTCTAAGATTGGACATGCAGAGCACACTGTTAGAAAGCTGCTAAATTTCTTTTGATTAGAACTAATCTAACTTCCTTGGTACATTTACAGTGTTCAAAGGAAAGAGGCAGGTTTTTTGTTGCTTGTGAGGCAGATGTATTTTCACACTTAATTTAGAATGCCTTTGAAGGCCAAAGAGCATTGTAAGAGGGGCATATTGATTTGGTCCACTTTCAAACAGAACTTTCTCTGACCTAGGGGTCCCAGGTCCAGAGTGATTTGCTTCTGTGTCCTGGAAGGCCATACAGCATGGCTGACTCACTGTTGCAAGTATTCTGTAATTATGTGCAAATCACCACCTGAGGGCTGAGTGTTCTAATTGTCATTATACAAGTTGCAATGACCCTGAGTAAGCTTAGTGATTCTGTTCCTGCAAGTCCCCATTTGTATGTAGGAGCACACTTTTTATGAAAATGACTAGGGCCAACTGATGGGTGCTGACAAGCGTAGGTGTTTGCCTGCCATCTTTTCAATGTGCTTCATGGGACGTGACCAATATTGTGTTTCAGGTGTACTTCTGGACTTTTTATAATTAGAAATCACAGCAATGGAACAATCCAAAATCATTTCCAAGTCTGCAGTGAGGGAGGACTGGTGAGGGCATTCCCCTTCTGAGGCCGGCTAACTTCCCCACGTCTCAGCTGCTGAAAGACAGACACGGGTTACTTGAGGCCTGGCTGCTCTGTGAAGTAGTCAGCCTTGGGTTCTGTTGCTTTGCACACCCCTGTGCCTGTGAGCCATAGCCTCCGTGCCCTCTCTCCAGGGAGGAGGTTCCATCTTAGGCATCTGGGGCTAGAGAAGGACGAGGGAGCCCTCAGGCTCCCAGAGTTGAGGGACCTACTCAGCTTGTTTTAGTAGGTTCTTTAATAAGAAACCATGGAGTACTGGGAGTGTTACAAAACACACTCCCCTCCCAGCGATGCAGTGGAGGCACTATGCCCATTCTGCAGATGAGAATATGACACCAGAGGCATGAGCTGCCCAGAGTCCCATAGCATCACAAGTAGACCTGGAACCCGAGTGTTCCAACTCCTAAGACTCCTTGCCCGTATACCAGATTTCAGTTCACCTCATAGGTGCACTGAAGGTGAAGTTGGGATGAACTTATTAAGCCTCTGTCCTATGTGGTTCCCCTTCCACATCAGAAATGAGGGTGGGGTGGGGGGAGCAGGGTCTACATCCCACAACAGCCTGTTTGATTACTTGGTTTTTTTGGATCAGACAGATGTATATCTAGTCCTAGAGTTTCCTGTAAAGGGCTGTGGGTGGTGATTTGCACATAATTACAGAATACTGGCCTAAGGTTTGTTTGAGGATGTTATCTGTGCCTTTGGGCTGGCATTTATCATTTCTGCATGGCACTTTGAAAGCTTTTAATCTCTTCAGGTCATCTGTTGCCCTGCTGACTGCCCACTTGGGCCTCTACCCACTTCCTCAGTAACCTAGGGTAACCCCCTCCTCCAAGCAGCCAGGCCTAGACCATTGCCGAAGTCTGTAATCACAGTCATTGCTTAATACATCTATCTGCCAGCCTCGTCTGTGCATGATGGTCTAATGACAACATTCCAGATGTCCTTGACATCTCTAACTCACCCACTTTCTCAGGGTTTGTTTAGAACGATCACACAAACCAGTAATGGAGTCTCTGAGAATTGTGGCTGTGGGCAGGGATGGGCACAGCTGGTGCAGAGCTAGTGCGGGTTAGATACCAGTAGGTTATGTGTGTGCTGATGAATCAAGCAAAAAGCGTGAGGTCTGTCATTCTCTGGACTGGTGGCGTACAAGGAGAAAAGCCCGCTGGTTGGTCAGTAGGCACACAGCAGGATTCAGTAAAAGTGGGGAAAAGTTAGGTAGATAACATTGGAAGCTGGGGAATTTTTTTTAAACCCATTTAATGCAGCTATTAAGAGTGCATATAACTATTTGGTTCCTAATTTTGTGGTCCTAAAAATACTTAGTATTAAGGAATAGAAAAGATGAAATGTATTAAAGACAAAGACAAAAAAAGCTGAAGAAGAAAAATCCCCTGGTCACACCATTTGGAAACCATTATTTGACTCATTTTAATCTATTCCTGAGAGTCAGCCTAGTGCAGTGGAGATAGTGCTAGGCTTTTAGTCTCAAGTCCACAAGCAGTTATTAATCACTTATTGTATGCACACAGGCACTGTGCTAAGTGTTACTGATACACGGAAAGCAAAAACAATCTGCTCTCAAGGAGCCCCTATCTTAAAAGTTTCTTGCAGAAGATAGGAGTTGAGCTGAGTTGAAGGAAGAAAGATGGCCAAGATAAGGAGGGCATTCTATGCTGAGGAGAGAGTTGGTGAGAAGTCTTGGGTTTGAGAGATGTCTTGTATGAAGAAAAGCAAGGCCATAGTCACTAGATCATGCATGGAGCTGAGTAAGGTGTAAGGAAGAAGAGTAGAAGGGCTTTAAAAAGCCAAACAGAGAATTTCTTATTTGGTCTGGAAGCAGTAGGGAGTCACTGGCATTAATGGAATAGGGAAGTAACATGGTCAGACCTGCTGTTTAGGAAGGTCACTGGCAGATGAGTGAAGGATGGACTGGAATAGGGAGAGACGAGGCAGACAGGCCAAACAGCAGCACATTCCGATAGTCTATCCATGAAGTAATGAGGACCTGCACCAGGGTGGCAGCTGTGATAGAGAACAAGGCATAAAGGAGAGGTGTTATGAAGGTAAAATCAGTAAGAGTTGGCAATTAGAATAGATAATGTGTGTTAAGTGAGTGTGAGGAGCTGGGAAAGACACCTAGTCTGTGAGCCGAAGTGAGTAGGAGGTCGGTGGTATCCTGGACAGGGAAATTAGAAAAAGGGTGTTGTGGTCTGAGAGGTTGAGACCCCTCAAAGACAGGGGTACAGGACGGGATCATCTGGAATGAATTCACAGACTCAAGCATTCTTTAAATCAAGGTGGCAAAGATTTATTGTTATGCTTTTCAGCGGGCAAGGATTCTTAAGGAACCTGCAAGAGACTGAGGATGGAGCTAGGGTTTATATAGAAAAGGGCATGGGAAAGGAATGCCAGGGACACTGATGAGGCAATCTAAAGTTCCAGGTGTCTTTGGGAGCTATGGATGAGAAAGTACAGGGAGTATACCAGACAGGGAGGGAGATGACAGAGGTATGGATCTTGGGAGTCTGGCAGGAGGAAGAGTCCTTGGGCCAGCCAAGGACAAAACTCCTTGGGCTGGGCAAGGCACCCCTTTCCCTCTGTCTTGATGACAGATCTGCAACAAGGGAAAGCTTTCTCACAAGACAGGAACTTACTAAGAAATTGGGAGGTTTCCAAAGACATGATCTGAGGGCTGGGGCCTGAGGAGCCCAGCACTCTCTCACCCAGCTTTGTGTAGCTGCACCAGGGAGAAAGATAAGGGTGGTGCTGGGGCCCACGCATGAATAACTGCTAGGCACAGTATCCTTAGACTGAGGAGTGATTGTCAGAGACAGCGTTTCTGAGGCTAGGGAGAAATTGGGGTCCAAGTACAAGCACAAGCACCCAAGCACCCCATCATTCCCCCCCTTAAACAGATGGGACCCAAAATCTTTTGGGGTGAGGGACAAAGGTGTCAGCTTCTGAAACTGCCTCCTGCTGGGATTGGGCATAGAGCTGTTCCTGCCTCCCGGGGTCCCTCTGTTCAAGGGGTTGGTTCTTTAGCCAGTGTCCGGAACTTGGCTGATGCCAGGTCCAAGGGGTGATGGGTTGTGGTCTCAGAGGTTGGAACCCAGCCTGAACTGCCATCTGGAAGTGGAGGGCACTGAGCCTAGAGGAGACAAATCTGACAAGAAAATTAAGCAGACAAGGAAGGGCCAAAAAGAAGTAAAAGGAATATAATCAGGAGTGGGACAAGAATAGGAGGTAACATAGAGAGAAGCCAGGATCCCCAAGAAGAGGATAACGATGGTATACTAGGGTTTTCATGGATGTTTCACATCCAGGTGACTTTCTCTAGTCCTATCGAGTTCCACCTACTGAGAGTTGTTAATATACATACCGCAGGAGGTGTTGGCCAGGGCACAGGCACCTCCCCTAAGCAAGTAGATAATCCAAAGCTATCTGATCATCCAGAACCACATTTG